GGTTCACGGTTAAATGATGTTTTCAGTTTTGATGGTAGAACAAGCTCCTGAAATTGTGTTTTGGATTGGTTCCACCTGTGTGGGGGTCAGACAAGTATGGGATTTCGGGATCTTAGCAATGACATGTTGGTTCGGCAGTTAAAGGAGTAGTGACATGTTCAACACTAGAAGATTTAACTCCCATATTGCCTCTTGTTGCTCATTATGTTCATGGGTTTGCTAACTTTAGGATGAGTATTTTACTCGAAGGATTATCTAACCCCTTTTATCAAGTAAAAGTTTTCGGCAACAACAAATAGTCAGTGATTCTGTTTTCCAGTGGAAGCAATAAGGTAATCAAAAGTTGGGTAATCAATTTGGAATAAAAAGTGGAGTTGAAATTAGCAATGGTTCAGTATGGGTTGTCTGTTGGGGAGTCAGACAAGTTTAAGATTTCAGATTTCGGGTAGAGTAGAAATGGTTATTCTTCAGGGGGTTAATTTAGGTCGAGTAAGGATCTGTTCATCGTTAGGATTTAGGAGCCCCACTAAGGATGGGTTAGGTTGCATCTTTGGGAAGGTTGTTGTATGTCCGAGGTTGCTTACTCAGTCCGCATCAGGGTTGTGGTTGTGTTGCGCATGCTTTCTGGTGTGCCTGGGATGGTAAGGAATGATATCAAGTACGAAATCTAATTCAAGTGAGGGATATTTCTAACACTCGTATCCAAGTATGAAATTATTTCCGATTTGTGTATGAGTTCTTTTTGGCCACGACGTGGTGAAGCCTCACCACGGCGTGGCGATAAGCTTTTGGGTCGCGGATTTTTATGGACCACTACGGCGTGGTGATGTTGTACCACGACGTGGTGGCAGCTGATGGAGAAAACCCTAAAGTTTAAGGGGTTGAGCCTTATTTAAAGATCCTTAACCCCTCATAGCCTCCCTCACATCAGCCTCCATTCCCCTAAATCGTTCCTTGCAAAGCCTAATCACCTTCCACCATTTTTTAGCTAGTTTGGTACTCTTTGAAGCTAGAGATGGAAGAAGGAGGAGGAAGGGAGCAAAAATCAAACAAGCAAGTCCCCATTCTTCATCTTGGCACTCTTCTGGACCCTTGTAAGTGTCCAAGACTCGATTTTTATCTTACCAAGTTGTTAGATCTTGAGTTTTGTCCCATTAGCCTCTTGTTCTTGATTGTTGGGATGGTTAGACCTCATAAAGTTTGCAACTTTATGAATCTCCAGGTTAAGGTGATCTGGTAGTGTCTTGGATCTGGTGTATAATCAAGTTTTGATGTCATGCATAAAGATTAGGTCGTAAATCCTCATTTTGACCTAATATAGGTTCAAGACATGCATTGGGCATGTATATCTATAAAGCACCAACCTTTGGGATTGTTTAGGTGTTAGAATCACTTTTGGAAAGGATGGACTTTGTACTTTAAGGATTAAGTGCTTATTGGTTAAGCCCTTGCATTATTAAGCTTTATGGATTAGGTTTTGGACCTTTTTGGGTAGTCCCAATGGATAAAGTTTCTAGATCATATTTTGGACTATATCTGAGCTTTGGAGCTCTTGGAATCAAAGAAAACGGCTTAATGTATTGATTTGTTGGAACTCAGGCAACCACGATGTAGTTCTAAGTCAACACGACGTGTTGGCTGAGATTTTCACGACTGTTTGGATGTTGGCAGAACACAGCGTGGCCAAGGGGCACTACGGCGTGTTGGAGTAAACATGGACTGTTGACTTTGTCCAAGTTCGACATAAGGGATATTTTAGGTATTTTGAGTTGTATGTGAGGATTGGTCATTATTTTTGATAAATAGGTGACGGGTAGAGCTGATATTCGGAGTCAGAACCTCATCAGCTATTGTTCAGATTATGAGGTGAGTTTCCCTCACTGTGTTTAGCGGGTTGAAGGCTCCAATTCCGGCCTATGATTATTATGATAGGATGCTAGATGTCTGCATGACTCTTGCATGTGTTATGTGCTGGTGTGTATACCGAGCAGGGCTTAATGTCGGGCGAGGCCCAATGACTGTATTGTATGCCATTGGCCTTGTGATTATCATATGTGTTAGCATGATTATATGTTTATATGTTTATTTGTGTAACAGGCAGGACCCGATGCCAGGCGCGACCTACTGAATGAAAAATTTGTAACTCGAGCGGGGCCCGAGGCCGAGTGGGACTCGATGCCGGGCGAGGGCCCAGTATGTGATTAATATGTATGGTATGTGGTATTTTGGGGAACTCACTAAGTTTTGTTCTTACGGTGTTCAGTTTACGTTCCAGGTACTTCTGATTCGAAAGGGAAGAGTCTGAGATGATTGCAGATCACACACCACCTTATTCCGCATTTGTGAATTACTCTGATATGATATGATGTAGTGACTTACTTTGGTCTATCTTGGTTGTATAACAATGTTTTGATTTACCATTTTATTTTAATTAAAAATGAAAATTTTGGGTCTTATTTTTGGGACGTTACACGTACTCACATTTTAATTAAAAATAATCGTAGTTCGAGTTAAGGGGCATGAGAGTTCAAGAAGAAGATTGTGACGCCAAGAAGCTTTAGCAATAACATTGGCTACCCCTTATACTCAACTTTGGCACTAGACCAAGACACGATGTGTTGACGCTTTAAGGACCAATATATGAGATTATCACCTAGATAAACATAAAACCCAGAGGTGGACCATCTTGTTTCAGGACACCCGGGCCAATCAGCATCAGAGTATGAAACCAAACAAACGACATGAGACAGACGTATATAGAAACCATGTGCAAGAGTGTCCTTTAGATAACGTAAAATTTGTTTTAGAGTAAGGAAGTATGGTTCACGAGGATCGTGCATGAAAAGGAAAACATGATGAACAACATAGGCAATATTTGGATGAGTGAAAGTCAAATATTGTAATGCCCCGACAAGACTTCAATACAGGGTCAGGTAACGGGATTCCCATTAGTGGAAAGCTTCAATTTAGTGTCCGCCGAAGTGCTACAAGGATTATAGGAGATCATATCATCTCAAGAGAGGATCTCCTTGGAAAACGCGGTCTGAGAAAGGAAAATACTGTTAGCGTTGCGAATAGCAGCAATGCCGAGAAAAAAATGAGAAAGGGCCAAGGTCAGTCATAGAAAACTCAGAGGAGAGACGAGATATGACTCTCGTGATAAAAGATGAATTGGAGGCGGTGAGGATAATATCATCCACGTATAACAAAAGATATATGGTGTCCGAGCGATGATGAAAGGTAAATAGAGAACTGTCAGATCGACTACTCTTGAAACCGATGGAAGAGATGTAGAAAACAAATCTTTGTACCAGGCACGAGGAGCCTGTTTGAGACCGTATAAGGCTTTTCGTAGACGACAAACATAATCGAGATGTTGAGGATCAACATAGCCAGGAGGTACTTTCGCACCTTTACAAATGTCCTGAAAAATTATGCACCATAGTTTGTATTTGGAACCATCTACTGTGAGCTTGAAACTGAATTGGTTATACACATTCGTAAGTGCATATACTAGTTGTTGAGTCGTAGGGGCGGTAGTAGATGGCGAGGTAGGAGTGGTGGATATAGTACCGGAAAATCAAAGAAACAATTTAACCAAAGAAACGAGACAAATATCAAGGCACTTACCAGGAGTAGAGAGATTGTAGCAACGAATATCGTACTACACTTGTTGATTAAAGCCGTGAAAGAGAGAGAGAGAGCAGCGGAGAGACTTGTAGTAGACTGAGATCGAAGTGGAAGTAGCTTGATGCGTAAATGACAAGAACAACAACGGCCACAGTAAAAACGAGAGGAGGGAAGCTGTCACCGGAAAAAAAATCATGATCAAGATGATACGTATTTCACACACACACACACACACACACACACACACACACAGAGAGAGAGAGAGAGAGAGAGAGAGAGAAGTACGTATCATGTGGCTTGATACCATGTTGTTTAGTGAAAAGACCCGTTCGGGTTTCTAATGTATTCCATTTCTTTATATATTACAACTAGTATATTACATTTACACAAAGGACCCCTAGAATATATGTGAATGAGAATATAAACACAATACAAATAATAAATAAACGTGCTAACAAATAGTATATTTTAATGGTATTTTTTGTACTAAAAAACGACAATGATATTTTTTGAACATTTTGGAAACCGAATAACCTGATAGCTACCTACAATAGTCGGTTCAATGGTATTTTGTGTACTAAAAAAAGACAATGTTTTTTTTGTACATTTTTAGAACTTTGTTACCTTTTAAGTCATTTTCCTTAAAATAAAATATAAAATATACACACACACATTTAAGTTGTGTTTGGCACGCCACAGCTAGCTTATTTTTCGAGTTTTTTTATGTTGTCGTGTTTGGCAAACCAAAAAATAGTTTATAATATAGCTTATAAGCTAATTTTTTAGGAGCATTTTCAAAATTTTCCAAACATACCCCTTAATTAATTATAGAAACCCATTATTTTAAATGTCATTTTATGTAATTTTATATCTTTCAGCTAGTTTTACCAAACGTCATTTTTTATCAGCTAGCTTTTCGGCTATGAGCTAGCTTTTCAGCTATCAGCTAGTTTTTCAGCAAGTACGTCAAACATAGCCTTAAACGCATTATTGACTTGGCAATCAACTAAACCGGTTGACATGTTTATTTAAACAATATTAAAACCGCCATACATTGTGTTTATTCCGGGTTATATTGGTTTTGGGCTGCTTTGAGTTTAGATCCAAAGGTAAACATTGCAACTTACCAGTTTTGTTTTTAGAACAAAGATACCAACAAATAGTTTGCAGTGGCTCACATAAGTTGTATTTCATATTCACGCATCACTGTTATATATTGGAAGAAGAGCCTTCTAACCACTTCTTCCATAATTTTATTTTTTTTCTAAAATGTTTCAAGACTTAAAACGGGAAACAGTCAAGACTTGGGGAATAAAGTAGAAATGTCCAAAATGTAATTACAGATTTGAGGTTCCAAAAAAATACACAAAAACAAGGTTTTTTTTTTTTGTAAGTAAACAACATGATGACAAGTTACAAGTTTCCTTTAATAAGTGCATGAAACAACAACAAACAAACAAACAAACAATTCACATAAGTCTTAGTTCGTATTCACCCGCCATTGTTATATATCGAACCCACGGAAGAGCTTGGTAACCACTCTTTTCAATAATCTTCAGATAACGAACCTACAAAAATACAAAATCCCATAAACAACAGGGTCAGGGTGAATCTATTAAGTCGTTCTTTCTGTATTAAGTAAAAAACAAACAGGGTAAATAAAATTTAAATTTACCTGAATTCCTGAGACCGTAAAATATGGTATCTCGAATTTGACACGGATAGGAGCTTTTCTCTCGGGGACCGCTTCTTCCGCTGTTATACTCGGAAGACTAAACTCGGCTCTCAACATATATTCCTGAAAACATATATATTATATTATATTTTATTTATAGAAATAATAAAATAGAATAATAAAATAAAAGTGTATTATTTATTTACCTTACCACCTGGAAAAGATTTAATTTTCCAGGAGAGAGCATCGTTTTTCTGGTGCATAGGAAGCAGATCCCATGGAAGTTCGAATATTAGGGTTAGTAGCATCCGCTGGCACAGGCAATTCAATTTCGACATTTGTTGCAGTGCTGCAAATTATCAAACAATTTTCCATTAAAGTAACATTCTTTCTTTTAAAAAAAAAAAAATTAAAAAAGATTACATTACATACCTTCGCTCCTTGAATTGACTCCTAGCTTTTACCATAATTTCCATCCGGCTTCTTGAATGCCTTTCGATTTGAGCTTCCACCCAAATCAAAGGCTTCACCTGAGTGCTAAGTCGATATGTCATCAGGTCAAACGCTCCATCAGGAGGCACAAATGATATTGTCCTATCATTTTCAAAACGAGCCAATCGCACACATCTACAATAAATTTGTACATACACTCAAATTTTATAAAACTATCTATATATGTGATATAAGATTTAAAAGAAAATGAAAAATTACTGGTGGAACTTAATGTCATCCAAGTCAATGGCTTTTCCCTTTGTAGTTCGTCCTTGTGCCTCCAATAATACTCTATCATTCAGTCCAAGCTTACACTCAGGCATACCACTGTAACAAGAATGAAATAAAGAGAAATTTGTCCATTAGTTATTTTTCTAAAAAAAAAACTTTTTAAAGATATATAGCAAAAAAGAGAAAGAGAAATTTAGTTTGACCTCAAATAAGTTCGCATCTTCAATGCACCAACGACTTCTGATCTAACTATTTGCCCATTACTGTTCACGAGCATATTCACACTCTCCACAACATCCAAAAACACCTGAAGAGATTAACAATTGTAAATTGTAATATGCGTCATAGTAATCATTTAGAAAAATCCCACAACAAGACATGCCTCATTCTTTTTGTAATGTATTCCTTCACTACGCCATGAGACAGCATTTGTAACAGCCATGGGAGGTCTCTGTGAAACTTCCATCCTATATGCATCAGTCTTGATGAACTCACTAAGGATTTTAGCTTCAGTGAATTGAGGGTAACCAAAGTCCATCATTTCATCAAGCAACTCATACTGCAAGAGATAATAAATCTTTGAGTGAACTTTTGCTTCTAATAATGAATGTTGGATGTATATATATATATATATATATATATATATATATATATATATATTCATACCACTACAACAAAGTTATCTCGAAGTGATTCCTCTTCCAACTCCTCAAAGTAATGCTTAAACACCTGTTACAAATTAAAACAATAATCTGATTAATAACAACTATTAGTGATCATATATATTTCTAAAGGTACAACAAGAAGAACATTGATTCATTCAAAATTTCAAATTCAATACTTACATCAACTAAACGGTGTAGAAATAGGAGAAGACTAGCAGCATTACAGTTCTGTCTCGAAGCAATCATTAGATATATATTGCTGTGTTGTATGAACATATAAGTGACACCATTATCATAGACAACTGGACCTTGAGAATCTTGAGAATCTTGATCACCCTGAAGTTCATCAGAACATTAACATGTTATAAACATACTCATTTCACATAGCTCCATAAAAACATAACTTAACCTCGATATATGTTTGAAGGCTTACTATTATAACAGTGCTTTTAACTAAAAATAAAAGTGCAAAAACCTTATGTAATTTAAACTCTGCAAACATACTGATCTTATTATTAAAATCTTCAGCTCAACTAATGAATTCCAATGCCCAAACTCACTGCTTCACTAGTTCTTACTGAATTGTTTATTAAATGAAGGCATGAAATTACAACAGAAGAAAATTGAATGGACTGGTGGATTCTTAACAGATTTATCTGTGTGCAAGAAATCAATTGGAAGCCAACTGGAACAGATTCTTATTCAAACCCTCTCGATTTACCAATACCTAACTGGAAATACAAACATCTTTGCTTAATCAACCTACTTTATGAGTACATATTGTTTTACTTATCGTGTTTAGGTTTCTAACCAAGACAAACAACATAAAAAAGCTATCTGAAAGAAAAACGAACAGGAAAATACCTCTTTTTCAATCAGTTTGGTGAAGAAACGTTCGGCCTGAACTGCAGAGACGTCGCCACGGTAGTCGCGCCACACCAGAACACGGCCTTTGATGTCGAGGAGGAACAGCGCAGAGGCCGCCCCTGCCATCAATTATCCGGGGCCAGGTAGATCAGATCTGTATTGATTGATTCCGAATTAAGATCTGGTTTCTGGTCGATCGAGAGGTGAATGAACGAAATCTTCCTAGGGATCAAATAGACATTACGTATCTGCTCCAATTCGCAACAGAAAACAAAATTTCACACAGCGACTAAGAAAATTGTTGTGTATGATCGATCTGTTTACTTCTCGGCGTGTTTCAAAAAGAAAATCAAGCTTGTGATGATGATGACGACGACGACGTAGCTCAGTCAGCCAGTGGGCAGTGGGTGTCGGGTAATGCTGGTTTGATCTGTCCGTTGAATGAGCCCATTAGATACATGGACAAGCCCAATATATGGAGTAAAAATTAAACCCGGCCCGAATACATTATCACACTTTAACACCTTTACAATAACCGAGTAAATTAATATTTAACATGAACGTCTATAACTTCAGAACGAATGATGAAGTCTTTCGACGACAATTTGTCCATTATCCCTATTCTAATAAATTAATAGTTAGTAATTTTCTTATGTTAAATGTAACTCCTTATTAATATTATGTCCTTTGTCATGTAGATATATTAGACAACTCATTTCAAAATTCAAATTTACATTTTCTAATTATATGTTAAATTTGAAGTTATAATAACTTTAAATTTTTGATATATCTTTTAATTAATAATTTATTTTAAATAATTGATTAATAATTATAAATTTTTATTATAAAAGTTTGATTAATACTATAATCGTGGTTCCCACGGATTATAAAACTAGTTGAATATATAAAAATTCGGGTTTTTCATTCAACCACTTTCATACCACACGACTACTCGTCTTATCAAATATCAAAGAAAAAAATTCAACGTAGACATGAACAAGTAAGTCGTGATACCTTTGAACTAGAGCCAACAATTCAGGGTTTTTTATGTATCATAAGCTCAAGAATACGAGAATGAATGTTGTGATTATGACGTTGGATGTGGATACATGGAGACGTTTTTAAGGGCATCATTATAATTTCACCGGTTTGGAAGTTAGGGATACACATGGCAATTGGGATGAAAAAGAAAAGTCTTTTTGCTAAAAAAAACCCAATAAAATCCATAAAATTAAAGTTGTATTTAACTTTTTATTATTTTTAAATTATTTATATACAATGGATCTTAATTCTCGATCCAACTATAAATACAAACTACATAATTAATGGGAAAAAATCTATCTACTATATTTCCAATTTTATCACTAGTATCCCACAAGATAGCCTATACATGTTTCCGAATGCCATATTTGTGATATACTTTAAATTGAACTAGCATCCTCTCATATAATCTATCTCGCCAAATAGGGTAAAACATGTTTCATTCATTGCATTTGCATGTTGTTCAGGAATATTGGTCAAATAACAACATAATAAATCAGATTCTTAAGCTAGTTTTAATATCGTCTCTTTTTCACAACCAATCCCGATGGCGATGTTTAGTCATTTAAGGATTCTCAGTGGTCTATATTTATCATCATGGTCACGGACACGCCGGCAGAACCAACGGCGTTACGTGACTTCATAAAACCCCAATTAAAGGGGTATTAATTCAAAATCAACTACCAATCGCTTTCTTTATTGAAAAGTTTAACGACGATCCTTGTAAGTACTCAACATATGACAAAGTTTTATGCAATTATCCAAGTTTGGAATATTGGCGACATTATTTATTGTCAACGAGTCATTCTTTTTCCTGATCACCATGCGCTAAGATTTATAAATACTCAACATAAGCTCAATCCCCGCCATGAAAAACGGGTTGAGTTTCTTAAATCTTATTCCTTTGTAATTTGGCACAAGGCGAGCTCATCAAACACAGTGGCAGATAAGCTAATTCGTCACCATTTTTTGACTTCATTGATGAAAATCCAAATGTGTGGTTGTCAAACGAACAAATAAAAGGGATAAAATAATAACAATTAAACACAAGTCGCCGCAACAATATACTAAGAGATAGTATAGAAGAAGCATGGTCGAACCACTGAAATACGGGACTTATTGTATGACCATATTTTCACATGACACACTAATGCCAATTGAAAAGGGGGGAGGGGTATTTTGTTAACATTAAATGAAATTTCATGTATTAGCTACACCAAGATTCAATTTCAACAATTAAAATACATTTCCGATTCCAAATCATATTCAAGTACTATGTTGTAAGATGTAATATGACCTCAATTTATGTTCAATCTAGGTTGGTAATTAAGATATTAAAAAGCTCTAATATCTCCAAATTGACTAAAATATTTTACTCAAAACATGATCTTCAAGTAAAACTTCATTTAGTTGATTAAATCCAAACAAACTCTTAGATTAGATCACTAAAATACTTTAAGTTCAAGCAATTAATACCAACAATGTCCTATATGTCATGTGTGGCTAACAAAATCAAGAAAAAAGTGTCTTTAAACAAACTTACAAAATCAAGAAAAAAGTGTTTCCAAGGTGCAAAATGGTGATAAGATGTGTGAAAATCGTCCCCTCTAAGTTCTTGGCCAAAGTCCTCTTGAAAATGGCTAAAAAAACTCATTTTAATCGGAAGTTGTAAACTTGAAAAACTGACAATCTCCGTTACAAGGGCTCGTGTAATGATGTCTTGCCATTACACGGCCCGTGTAATGGCCTTATTCTGTTAAGAAGTTGCCAAAGTGCGGGCTCGTGTAATTATGCTTTCCCAAAGCGCGACCCGTGTAATCTACTGAAAAATGCATATTTTCCGAATTTTCAATTTAGCTCCAAAAATTCTGAAACTTCATATAGAGCTTCCCTAAAACACCATAAGCTTGCTCTAATCTTCAAATCACCCTGAAACATCCACAAAAATCGTGAAAAGTAGATAGATCCTCGATTATGTCCCGAAAATGCAAAAATTCTTGCAAAATACACTAAAATGCCATGTAATTCTATTTGAAATAAGTATATAAAAAGATGCAAGTTATGCACCTAAAAAATACCCCAAACTTGAACCTTTTCTTGTCCTCAAGAAAACAAAAACCCGATTCAATTCGGGAGAAAATAAAAGAAAAGCATATGCAAACAAGAAACAAAAAGAAAGAATGCTTTAAGTTATTCACCCCGACAACATACTCATCATTAAAGAATAGTCACCCTATACCCTAATATACACACAAATGTGATGCATTCCAAATCAAGACAATAAACTCATGGAACATAAAGATTTGCCAACCACTCAGCTTAAATGCATAAATGTGTAATATAAGGCATATCCTAGTAACTTTTACTGACAAGGAAGGTGGAACATAAAGAGTTGCCAACCAATGATTTTTCTATGAAAATATCATCATGACAAATCTTGAATTGCTTGGTTCGGTTCTTTTTTTTCTTTTCTTTTTTTTTTACTAGAAAACAACATAAGAATATACAATGACTCAACTTGAACGTTTACAAAAATAAAAACTACCAAACTAAAAACTTTTACAAAAATAATATACAAAACACAATAAATTGACTTTGAAGAACTTTTTTTTAAATGCGCACAAACTTATAAAGATTTGACTTTGGATTCCACCTAGTGTCGACTTTGCGGTTTTCATAAACGAACTTTTGGTTAAAAAATAAGCAACAAACTTCTAAATATTTACAACTATAAAACTTAACAAAAATAACAAACAACTTCAACAACTATCTTTGGAAAATTGATATAACTTCAAAACACAAAAAGATAAATATTGAAAAAGCTGCATATATCATAATATTTTTATTATCTTATATTTTTTTTCTATTTTTTTTAATTTTTTTATTTTTGTGAACCAATCTTTTTGAACCAAGCGAAGAATATATATATATATATATATATATATATATATATATATATATATATATATATATATATTCTCAACAAAAGTCAATTAATCTAAACTATATAATACAAAAATGAAACAAAACACACATATATACAAACGACTAACAATATAAAGCTAAAAAGAAAATTAGATAACCATACAAACTTCTGCGTCACGCCATGAGAGAATAGGATATTTTTCCTAACCGATATACACAATAACGTACTTACAGGTATTTTAAAACATCGTATATTTGATTATCATATGTTGTGACTTGAATTATTTAAGAGGAGTTGATTGTCATAAAATACCTCAATGCATCGTCACTAAGTGAATTAGCAAATAAGTGTGTTCTCAATAGTTCTAAAGTTTCACAAATTAGTGACACCAAGTAATAAATTAACAAATCAATTATTTAACAATTGATCTTATATTAATTTATTAATCACATAACAAATTAACAAAACAATTATCTATTTCCAATTAATATATTTATAATATATTAACAAATCATTTATTACAATTTATTAATCATATAATAAACTAATAAATTTATTCTCTCTCTACAAATGTCATTGTAATCAAGTTCTACTTATGAGGGCAATCCAAAAAGGACTTTGTTTTTAATTACAAGAATATACCAATTTAGTTATGAGCTTAGATACTTTAATCCAACAGTCTCTCACTTGGATAAGTCTATAATTATAATTGCAAGTATAACCTTGAACCAAACAGCAAAGTGTGCTTTCCAAAGCCACTGTCGAACTCTGATTCAAATCAAACGTTGGCCCTAAGACAAGTGATCAGCTATTCCTTCGTTCTACAAGATATCGTATGAACAGGGTCATAGATTAAATGATCAACCTCATGTTCATTTGTTTAGTTTCTCTATTTCCCAATTTGTGTTCAAATTCAGACTACAAAATCAAACCCATCAATTAAGTTCGGACTAGTCCTAGTTCTTATAGATCAACTCAAATCATTGAGGGGCCCACATATATCGTTTTTCCCGTTAAGGAAAAATGAACGAATAAACTTCGAGTATATAATCATACATTTTACTCACCAAATCATGCATGGAATTACACTTTATAACACCCAGTTATGAGATGTGTTGCAGTAAACCAATGCACAATTGATTTGCAAAATATGACTTATATATCTCTGTTTGAAGAATAGAAGATATTATCATCTTATAATTACTTGTGATTGAATCCATGAAGTAACCTCTAAGCATGGGTTTATCCAATACTTAAAATCCCTATTTCCAAGTACTCATGAACATTGTACAATCTGTATGCAATGTCCAATCCCTATGGATAACCTACAATCGATACATGACAGTCTTAATTCACTACTTACTTACAAAAGTATGATCGACTGTGGAATTTTGAATAATATTAAAATTACTCAAGGAAGTAAAACATGCAAAGTGAAACACAATAATAACTTAATTAACTATG